CTATCTAATAAAAGCAAAAAGGCCAAAAAAAAGCTCTGACTAATACCAGAGGAACGGTATAACAGAACATTTTAGCGGTTTTAAAACCTTGACTTTTGCAAACCGTGGTAAAACTTGAAACCGATTATTGTCCCATGCCTAGTGTTTACATGTACTGATTACAACAGTGTTTCTTAATCCCAGTTCTTGCCATGATTAACGGCAGGTTTCGTTCAAATGGAATTTTAGTTTGTAATATGTGATTTTATATTGTTTTTATTTATGGAGATATTCTGTATTATGTCACACTTCACACATCTCCTGTAAGCTGCTGCAAGTAGTGCTGTTGTGTGAATCTGTAAACTAATGTTTCAGAGTAAAAAAAGTGTTCCTGTGTTCAAATAGAGCACAATGACGGAGAATGGACTAGAGAAGTATGCACACTGTGTAGGAATGTGTCAATCAGAACACGTCATCATAGACGGAGCTCTTCTAAAGAGCTGGTTATCTAAATCAGTTTGGTTAAATAAGGCTTCATTCACACTGCGAGGTCTAGTGCTCAAATCTGATTTTTTTCTCAGATCTGATTTTTTTGCATAGCAGCTGTTCACACTGTTGTTATAAATGTGGCCAATATCAGATTTCCAGTGTGAACAGATCATGGCCCTAAACTGATCCGCATGCACAAAAGTACAGCTATGGACAGCACATAGTAATTGTGTATACTGTATAAAGTGAATAAAGCAAATTGTCAGATAATTCTTTAATATATTCTTTAATATTTAGTTTTGTTAATTATCTAATTGAAATATAGCTATTTTAATATGGTGGTATTTTAAATCTAATTTTTTTTTTTTAGGGAGGGGTGGGACATGTTGATCAAAAATTATGTAAAAGTCATATGAATCTGGGTACTTCTCGCATACTGTTTTTCAAAATCTATGTATGCGGACATACTACTCGGCTCGCATACTGTTTTTAATGTACTATATAGTATGGGAGTATGCAATTTTGGACGCAGCCCCATTCATGAATTCCCTCGCGGTGCATCATGAGATAGTGTAGAGTGCATCAAATGCGCACTTTAGAATCTCGCCGGAATTGGTATGTTATCCAGGTACTTCTCGCATACTGTTTTCGAATTCTATGACTGACATACTACTCGGCTTACATACTGATTTTAGCGTACTAAATGAAAGTATGCAATTTAGGCATAGCCATTGTGTTCGAAATTATATATTTTTTAATTGTGAATAATGTCTGCAGTCAGTACAGGGAAACTAGGCTTTTGTCAGTCGTAAGGGGCAATAAGACTGTCCCCAATCCTTAAAGGCTATAAACAACTAAAACAACAGCAGTGTCCAACTACTATAACCAACTTCTGGCTTGGCTAGTTTTTTTTTTTTTTTTGGATCCGTGTTAGCATATTGTCAAGACAATGATGCCGTTTGTGTTGTGAACATCTTAAAATATGTACAAGAAAAATACTTCCACTTTTAGAAGGTGCATAACTGTTGTGTAAATGAACTCTGTTATCTAAAATGCATTCTGAATTATGCATGTGAAAGAAAATGTAAATAAATTCACTTCTAATCTGAGCAGTGACAGTAGAACTGTATAAAAGGCGTATTTGTCTCTATAACATAGGATGAATCCAGCTCTCCTGTTAATGGTTCCTACAGTAGACTTATTCTCTTCACCCACACATCTCTGCTTGACCTTTATGAGATCGGTTTTCTAAGAAAAAAATGGGTCGTTCGTGGAGAGCAGGTTGTTGTTTTATATCCCCTTCAGTTTCTCGCTTGGCAACAGAACATATGCTAGGCTCTTGACCTGTGGCCACTTCACATCCATCTCTTCATGCTAATGCATTCGTGTATAAAACAGTGCTCTACACCCCCATGTATCATGAATTTGTTCTGAACATGGGTTACCATCATCCTCAGAGGTCTATATTTGTCAGCAGGGTTAAGAGGGACAGAGGGGGCTGATATTGACTGTGAAGAGATGGGCGATTAACTGTGAGGCTGACTCAGGCGGCTGGTGTCTTTGTACGTCAGGGCATGATGGAAAAGCCAATGAAACAGTTCTCAGAGGGTGTCATAAAGTCTGCTTTATTGCCGGTTTGTGTTGCCTTTGCAGATTAAGTTCAAAGAGAGATGGCTTCTCTTCTCTCTCCATCTTAAATCCCGTTTCTATTGAGTTTCTTCTATGGATATATTCTCAGGGCCTCTGAGAAATAACCCTGCAGTCAGCAGCTGCAGGGCAGAGAGTGATTGTAAATGAGGGAGGATTACTCCCTCAGGGGGCTTTTAACCCCTCATAGTCTGGCTAGAAGCATCCCCTGGCAAAGAAACCTGTGGTTATGTTCAGATGGGCTTTCTTGAGAAGATGTGACTCATTCGCGGTATCCGTGTGGTGAGATGTTTTTGTAGCCGTTTACTCATTATGCTCCTGACCTGTTTATCCCTTATCCAAAGCTGAAAGTAGCACTGCACCGTTACGAAATGAGAAATATTCATCTCACACTTTATTAGTAGAGTAACTTACTAATAAAATAGCGACTAATAAATGTACAACTGTACATAGTTTGATAGATTAGCTTGAGTCTTTCTTAAAAACAGCTCGCGTTTTAGGTTAGTCCTAATTGATCAAAACTTTAGCAATTGACATAACGCAGTTTGACCGCATATTATTGCACACAATACTTTAAACACAGAAAGCTGAGGGAATATCACCGTAAAAACGACTAACCTGTAGTATTCCTGTTGCTGTTATTCTGTCGTATGCTGTCTGAATCATACTGAATCAATCGGTTCACTTACGCAAACGATTCATCTGAATCATTTCTCGACCAGAATGCCGCGAAAGACAGATGGATGGATGGATGGATGGATGGATGGATGGATGGATGGATAGATAGATAGATAGATAGATAGATAGATAGATAGATAGATAGATAGATAGATAGATAGATAGATAGATAGATAGATAGATAGATAGATAGATAGATAGATAGATATTGTTTAACAGATGAATAAGACAGAAAAATGATAGATAGATAGATAGATAGATAGATAGATAGATAGATAGATAGATAGATAGATAGATAGATAGATAGATAGATAGATAGATAGATAGATAGATAGATAGATAGATAGATAGATAGATAGATAGATAGATAATTAATTTAGTTATTGTTTGACAGATGAATAAACCACGATGGATGGATGGATGGATGTTTAAATGATTTAGTTAGTGTTTGACAGATAAATTAACCAGATAGATAGACAGACAGACAGAGAGACAGATAGATAGATAGATAGATAGATAGATAGATAGATAGATAGATAGATAGATAGATAGATAGATAGATAGATAGATAGATAGATAGATAGATAGATAGATAGATAGATAGATAGAGAGATAGAGAGATAGATAGAGTTAGTGTTTGACAGATGAATAAACTTGTTGTTTTTAGAAACACTGATATGATAAAACATACAAATATAGATTATATTACTTTATTTAGATAGATTCATTTATTTATTCTTATAATATATTTATGCTCCTATGATCAATCCAAAGCTTATCATCCATTATTTTGTTAATGGAGCCTTAGCTCAGACTGCCTTTGAAAACAAAGAACTGATAAAAGGAAGTCTGAAGCATGGCCATATCCCTTAGTAATCACGTTTATTTTCAAGCTGAAGCTGGACTGCTGAAATTGAAAAGATGATCAGTACTTCAGCCTCAGCAGAACACCATAAATGTCAAGTACCACAAGAAAATTATTTATATGAAAAAAAAAAAAACTGATGAGAATAGCAGACCATAAAACAGCATACGGTTGAAGCTGCAAACACCTTATTATGTTGTTTATCATCACACATTAATAATTATTCATCTAAAGGCAGGTCAGTGTGTTTATGTGTATTACACTGGAAACTTACATACGCATAAATAAACATTAATACATCATGCTTCTCCAGTTGCATAGTGTCTAATATACAGTTATGTTCTAAACATAGATATTTGCTTTAGATGTTGCCTACATTGTTGTCTATTGGAAGGAATGGGTCAACAGAGTCGCCAATTTTGTACAGGGTTGCACTCCTTTGAAATAATTGTGGAACCAAGGTGCTGAGGACTGGCCATCCAGAGCCATAGATATATAAACATATGTATATATCTATGATCGGGAATTTTCCCGGTGGTCATTACGCACATAATTTTTTTTATTTATGAAAATTTTAATTTTACATCAGTTTTTCACATCAATCCATAAGTGATTTCACGGACAAAGAGCGTGTGTTTGTGTGCATTGAAATATATTATCCTCCCTCCCTGTTAAATTTGATTTAATCCTTGTCCTGAAGCACACCCCTTCTCCTGCTTTCACTTCTAATTCTAACAGAGGGAGCGATTCGTTTGTGAATTAATCTTCGTTATGAACTATTCGTTTGAACCATCGATATCCCTGCATCTTAATGTACATATCTACCTTTCTGATCTAAATAGCATATTACATTTGTAATATTCAATAATTTAGGGTGGACAGTTTGCACATTGGGGCGCAGGCATTGTTATTTTATCAGGCACCCTAATAAGTTACTTTAAAAACTAGCCAATACTTTACTTAGCAACAATAGTACAAGTTTCTGGCACCGCAGCGTCTTGTCATATTTCATTTACATTGTTTGGTAATTTTATTAAATAAAACTAGCATAAGCCTAGAATTTAGTGCAGGTTAATGTTAATTTGCCTTAAAAAGTCTGTTACATACAAAATTGTAAAAAACTAAACCTGTACGAAGAGCAAAAGTCCAGCATCTTTAGATTGACTTTAGTCTTAACTAGTGCAGTTCTATGACATTTGTTCTGGGAGCACTGTACAAATGTGGCGGCGGTATTGACGCATGCTCGTAAGCAATATCTATTGTATATCTATGTGTTCCAAAGACTTTTTTTTGAAGAAAAACATTCCATGGATGTGAAAGATTCTTTATGGAACCCTCAATACCAGTGAAAATCCTTTATTTATTCTCATGAGTGTGAACCAGTGAAGCAAAATAAAGGTAAGAAGCAATCATTTATTTCAGTTTTCCTCTTTTCTCTGCATATTTATAAATTGGCAGTGTGGCTGAACAATTGCATTTAATCATCATATACCTGAGATGAGGAACAGTTAATTTACACAGCATATTTAGAATATGTAAAAGTGTTTGTTTAAAGGCATGATTCACATATAATGAATAAATTACTTAATGTATTAACAGTACAACTGCAACAACAACAACAACAACACAAGACATCCTGAAATTCAAGAATATTTAAGGCTAAACATTGGTACAATTTTCTCAAGTCTTATATTTCTATTCTCAAAAGAACACATGTATGCAATGTCATTTTCATTAAATATCAGCAGGTATTTGATCCCTGGCTTCAGAAATATGATGTGTTCATGGACTTAGAATTTTAATCCATGATATGAACCAAAACAGTAATTAGCAGAGTCACACTAACCCAAGGGATCAAATAGGCTGCAGGCAAAGGCTCAACCTCAAGGGGGCTCTGTAAATAAGAGATAGCATAATAATTAAACGAGGATTTTGATTTGTATAGTTTCATATTTGTTATCAACAAATAGCAAAGTGGCTCCACAGCTCAAAAGTGCTTTCCCCAGTGTTGACACTGCACTTAGAATTAATCACTGTCTCTGACTCACAAATTCCCAAATGTCATCAGATAGAGAGATAATTTCTGAAGCTGGGGCTTCTAAAAAATAATTTGACAACTTCAGTGGATGGAAGCACATTGAGCTGTCTGCCAGAGATTTAAACTGAACATGACCTTCTGTGCCGAGTTGACTTCATTAGGGACTTGCTTTTAAGAAGAACAAGGAAGGGGGCTTTTCAATATCAGCGAGTGACATTTCAGTCAATTTAAGTGTCTGCTTGATTCGTTATGATGTTGTAAATACATATTCACTGATTAACATTCATACTTAAGGCCATTTAAGTGCTTGTCCAGATGTTACATGCTCTTCATTTGGCCAATTGGCCAGTTCTGGCATATTTGTTGTGAAGCGTGGGTCTTCTGACAAAGTATGCAAATCACCAATTTCAGGGATACTAACTCTTTAAATGACCACATGGTTTCGATCTTGACAAACCTGAGAGGCTATAGTGAGGTTCAAGGCTTGGCACTTTTTGGGGCACCAGGTTTCATCTGGTTGGCCAGCTTGAATCTCCTCACTACCCTTCTAGCAAACAGTTGTCATGCACAGGGCATGGCTGAAGCTATGGAGGAAAAAGGCCCCGGTCATGTGATCCTGTGGTTCGGGACGAATGTAACTTTCCAGGAAGATAAAATCACAGTTGCAGAGATTGAGTACAAGGTCTCTGTAGGTTCCCAGAAAAGTCACTGAATTAATCACTGAATCTGACTCGCAAATTCCCAAATGCCATCAGATAGAGAGATAATTTCTGTTCAAGAAAGTTGGGGCTTCTAAAAAATAATTTGACGACTTTAGTGGAATGGAAGCACATTGAGCTGTCTGCCAGAGATTTAAACTGAACACGACCTTACGTGCCGAGTTGATTTTATTAGAGACTTGACTTTAACAAGGCTTTTCAATAGCAGCGAGTGTCATTTCATTCAATGTAGGTGTCTGCTTGATTCTTGATGATGTTGTAAGGACATATTCACTGATTAACATTCATACTTAAGGCTATTTAAGTGCTTGTCCAGATGATACACGCTCTTCATTTGGCCAATTGACCAGTTCTGGCATGCTTGTCATAAAGCGTAGGTCTTTTCACAAAGTAAGCAACTTACCAATTTCTGGGATACGATCTGTTTTAATGGCCACATAGTTTTGATCTTGACAAGCCTGAGAGGATATAGTGAGGTTTGAGGCTTAGCACTTTTTGGGGGACCAGGTTTCATCTAGTTGGCCTGCTTGAATCTTCTCGCTACCCTATTGACAGACAGGTGTCCTGCACAGGGCATGGCTGAAGCTATGGTGGAGAAATGATCCAGTCATTTGATTCTGTGGTTCGGGACGAATATAACTTTCCAGGAAGCTGAAATCACAGTTGCAGAGATTAAGTAGAAGGTCTCGGTAGGCTCCCAGAAGAGTCACTGAATTAATTACTAACTCTGACTAGCAAATTCCCAAATGCCATCAGATAGAGAGATAATTTCTGAAGCTGGGGCTTTTAAAAAATAATTTGACAACTTCAGTGAATGGAAGCACATTGAGCTGTCTGCCAGAGATTTAAACTGAACACAAACTTCCGTGTTGAGTTGATTTCATTATATACTTGACTTTAACAAGAAAGGGGGCTTTTCAAAAGCAGCGAGTGTCAATTTAGGTGTCTGCTTGATTCGTTATGATGTTGTAAGGACATATTCACTGATTAACATTCATACTTAAGGCCATTTAAGTGCTTGTCCAGATAATACATGCTCTTCATTTGGTCAGTTGGCCAGTTCTGGCGTGTTTGTCATGGGCAAGCGTGCTGTGCTTTTGTAGCTAGTGAGTCTTTGGTCACATCAATGCACATTTACAGGCTAAAAATGGTGGTCATGAATGTTTAATTGCAAATGATTACAAATTGCAAAGATGTTTAAAGGAAAATCCCCCCCCCAAGAAAAAAGAATTCCTCTCATCATTTGTTTTTTCTAAAGTCATTCCAAAGGGTATGACTTTAATTTTTTCTGTGAAAGCCAATATACTTTGAGGAATGATGGAAATCAAAATTTTTTGACTTTTTTGATTGAGTATGCAAACCAGTTCTTGAAGGGTCCCGTCTCGCGTGCCAAAGGTCAGAGTTTAGCTCCAACCCTAATTAAACACAGCATCGCTTTAATGTATATTCAACTGCTAAAGAATGTAGATGGGCTGGTTTGACAAAGAATTTTTCAACATTTCTGCACCTGAGGACATCTGAGGACATTCCTAGTGATGACAATTGTGTCATCAAGGACAGTGCGTGAACTGTCGTGAAACAAGAATGACAAAAGTATACTCTGGGCTTGATACTTACTAGAAACATCCGGCCAAGTGAGTGGCAGTTAAACTCTAAAGGATTGGGATTGTATATACCTGTTTTAAGCAAAAGTAACCAAGCATTATAATCATGACCATATTATTTTTCTAAGTATTCCCCAAAGTAGCATCCATAATATTGTTTTTCTAAAGCCTTAATAACTGATTTGCAAGTGATAAAAACAAAGTGAAAATATAAAAAGCTATTAACACAATGTCATGTAACAAATATATTTTGTTGAGACTTCTCCTTAATTGAATGTATATGTAAAGCCTCCAGTTCTGCACAAGCCACTTAGTGTGGAGTTAAAACGGGTCATTCCAGCATGGGAGACATAAAAGTACGCTTCAGACCACTGCCTCTAACATTTACTGAGTTTGCATTTGTGACGTTTACTTTGTCACATTAGCTGACCTCTGTTACAATAATCACCTAAACTTCCATTCAAGTCACGGCACCAATGACACCTCCCAAATTATTTATCAACCCATTGTAAGCAGGATTTGATCTGGAGTGAGGTTTACTTGCATAGCTCTCACTAGCTGACATCTATTTTACCTGTCCCTTAAACCTCACTTTTATCTGGGTCACGGCACCAATGCAATGCTACATACTCAAGGACACACCCTCTAGTATCTTTTACTGGAGTGCCTCTTGAGATCAGGGGAGTAACGTTTACTCACACAGCTCTCACTAGCTGGCCTCCAATACATTTACACTGAATGCAGTGTAAGTTGCTTTGGATAAATGTGTCTTCCAGCTGAATTAGTGGTTCACTTAAAAGTTACTTCACTACACACTTGTCTCCATTAGACTTTTTGTTATATTCCTCAGTTCATCTACAGACTGGACAAGTTTATAGCCAAGTAGGGCAAGAGTTCTGTTACACAGAGACTGAACAGTCTTAACAATGTCAAAGTTTAGATGCACTCTCCAGCTCTGTGCTGTAGCTTTAGAGTCTCTTGTGGTGGAGTACTTATAGTTCCACTCTGAAGAAGATGGGACACTGCTATTGGTGTTATCAACAATCCATTTGAGGACTCTTTGATGTAGGTCAAGGCCTAGAAATCTGTATATCTCCTTTGCCTTTTCTTCAGGATTCAAGGCCAGGTCTTCATATCGCACCAATAGATACCTCCCTCTCAGCCATGTTGGTTTCAGGAGGCCGGTTTCCACAGAATACTCGATATCTTTGCAGGTTCTTGTTATTTGTGTCAGGTCCACATACCGTGGTTGACGCCCAGTGGCGTTCCAGATCTTCCAAGCCCTGAATTTGCTGGCAAAAGCAGTCATTCGGGAAGCAAGAATGGCACGGGGGTCTCTCACCAAATGGATGATACGCAAATCTAAACGTGGGTCTTCTGACAGAGTACGTAAGTCACCAATTTCTGGGATACGAACCGTTTTAATGGCCACATGGTTTCGATCTTGACAAGCTTGAGAGGCTATGGTGAGGTTCAAGGCTTGACACTTTTTAGGGCACCAGGTTTCATCTGGCTGGCCTGCTTGAATCTCCTCACTACCCTCCGGGCAGACAGGTGTCATGCACAGGGCATGGCTGGAGCTACGGCGGAAAAAGGCCCCGGTCATGTGATCCTGTGGTTCGGGACGAATGTAACTTTCCAGGAAGCTGAAATCACAGTTGTAGAGATTGAGTAGAAGGTCTCGGTAGGCTCCCAGAAGAGCTCTACCATCCAGAGCCCTTTGCAGGCGGCTACTAGAATTGGTGAAAGCCTGCTGCACGTGATAAAGAGGCTCAAAAAGGTAAAATATGCCTGGATGTTGATTAAAAAGCTGTCCAGTAAATGAGGAGCCACTGCGGGTTTGTGCAAACAGAAGGATGTGCTTCCGAGCTGCAGCACCACTAGTTTCTGCAAGGACACGGCTGTCATCGCACAGAGATTTCCATCTTTGCTCTGGGGAAGAGAAGTAGAGAAATTGAGATAATACGGCACTCTGAAACCACAGAGGACATTATAAGGCCACAGAAGACCCAATTAGTTCAGCTTCATCTTTAATCAATCAGTTATTTGGGTAAGAAATACCTGGAGCTTTAGTTAAGGGGAAAAACAGAGTACAATCTTAACTAACTCTTTATTAAAGTCCAACACAATTCAGAAGCCTTTTCTCCCTGCTGAGAGGGAATGCGCAGCAACAATAGTGCTGTTTTGAAGATCTGGATTGCTTCCTCTTGTGGTGGTAATCATTTCACCGTTTTGGGGAAATACATAAAACTGAAAAATGAACAATCCACATACTGCACATACAAAAAAAAGATTATGGGACTTTCGCTCAAAATGAACAATTACTATATATAGCAGGAGGGTGGGAGAGACTGATAACGCTTGTAATTACGGCTGATGAAAGACTGATTGCGCGTGGCACATTAGGTTGTGCGAGTCGACGCTTGCTGGAAGTGCAAACAGCTGGTCCGTGAGGACATAATACAGCAGATTAATGATGAGATAATTGTAGAATTAATTATTGATATTCCATCACTCGTTCCTTTGCAGCGGATGATGAGGGAATTTCTGGGTTGCATTTCTACAGGTTCTCTTTTCATTTCTTTCCATACAAACTCGCTTATTAAAGAAGTGATGACCTGAGAGTGATAAGCCTATAGAGATAATGTCATTTAGATCCTCCAGAATGTTCTTGTCAAAAAAAAAAAAGAAAAACAGCTAAAGCTACATCCATAACCAAACATGAATTATAATTAAATTTGAGTCTCTATGCAAACTATAATTTAATGGAGGGCTTAAACTGTGCCTAAAAATGCAGCCTGGCATATGGACTTGAATGCAGATGAAACTGACTGCACATCAATAGATTGGTTATTGCTGCTATACAGAATTGAGGCTCTAAAAATGCTGTAAAGTTTAGGGAAGAAACTACACTACCTGACAAAATCTTGTCGTTAATTTCAGTTGTAAGGGCAACAATAACTGGATTTCTGGTTGATCATTTGGAAAAGTGGAAGATGGTAGATTTTTTCGATGAATCATCTGTTGAGCTGCGTCCCAATCATCACAAATACTGCAGAAGACCCACATGGGCCCAGGATTCTCGCAGAAATCAGTCGTTTGGTGAAGGAAAAATCATGGTTTGGGGTTACATTCTGTATGGAGGTGTGCAAGAGATCTGCAGAGTGGATGGCAACATCAACAGCCTGAGGTATCAAGACCACAAACCACAGAAGAGGACAAGTTCTTCAGCAGGATAGCGCTCCTTCTCATACTTCAGCCTCCACATCAAAGTTTCTAAAAGCAAAGAAAGTCAAGGTGCTCCAGGATTAGCCAGCCCAGTCACCAGACATGAACATTACTGAGCATGTTTGGGGTAAAATAAAGGAGGAGGCATTGAAGATGAATCTAAATGTTCTTGATGATCTGGATGAGTCCTGCATGAAAGCTTTCTTTGTCATTCCAGATGACTTTATTAATCAGTTATTTGAGTCATTGCAGAGATGTATGGATGCAGTCTTCCAAGCTCATGGGAGTCATACACAATATTAATTCTGTTTCCACTGCACCATGACTTTATATTCTATACTTTACATTATAAGTGACAAGTCTTTTGTCTCAGCAAAGTCAGACCTTACTGTCCTAATTAAATAATTAAAAATCAAGGCATGATTACATTTTATTTTGGTAAAATAAACATAACCGAGAGGCCTTTGCCTTTCATATAAGCCACTTGTGATACCAAATCATCAACTAGAAGTCAAGTTATTATTTTTTGTTCCTAAAACTTGGATAGGCGACAAGACTTTCGTCAGGTAGTGTATATTTAAAGGCTGCAAAGTTTTATTCACACTAAAGATTATAACTATGACATTAACAGTAATGTTTTATAAAACATTCTATAAAAGAAAAGCAACCCCACCACAACTCTAACAGCACGTATGAAGAATATTGTTGGAATATTTCTGGATTGTTAGACCATTTTTTCCCATCCTGTAGACCTTGAGCATTTAAAGCAACTTACAACAAAACAGCATCACTTGTAATAAACAGAGCATCACTGTCCTTGCAGTAGCTCATCTTTACAGTTACCGTTATAGTTTGGATTCTGAAGGTAAACACAAGACTCTAACCAACTAGTCTTCTAACCAAATCTCACTGCTTTATTTATTTAATTTCAATTTACTGTACAATACTTATTTTTCGATCGTATCATTCATTCATTATCTTTTCGGCTTATTCCCTTTATTAATCGGGGGTCGCCACAGCAGAATGAACTTATCCAGCATATGTTTTACACAGCGGATACCCTTCCAGCTGCAACCCAACACTGGGAAACACCCATATACTCTTGCATTCACATACATACACTACGGTCAATTTAGCTTATTCAATTCACCTATATCCCCATGTCTTTGGACTGTGGGGGAAAGCGGAGCACCTAGATTAAACCCACGCGAATATGGGGAGAACATGCAAACTCCAGACAGAAATGCCAACTGACTCAGCCGGGTTTCGAACCAGCAACCTTCTTGCTGTGAGGCGATCATGCTACCCACTGCAGCACTGTGACACCCCTTTTTTAGATTGTAGATTGTTGAGTGAGGTGTAATAAAAACAGTGACTTGCTGGTGTGGTGCGACATTGCTCCCAGATCTAAATTAAAGGAATTATCATTCTCAGGCTCGTAGCCAGAGGGGTTCAGGTGGTTCAAAATTCCAAAACTGGTCCCATACATGAGCTTATTTGTCCAGTTTTGATTGCTATACCATAATAATTGTGAAAATAACCCATCGAAAAAGACTTTAACATCAAGCAGAACCCTCTGTTTGCTGTCACTTCGGTGTGACTTCAGCTAATCAGTTTTAGCCAATGCAAAAATTATTTTTCATGAGTCCAATAAGCAGCTGTTGAACATCCAACAAGCTTAACTAGCTAAAATAGTGCTTAAGTGTTATAATTAAATAGAAAATGAAGCGAATAATTGTAAAAAGGTCCACTTTTTGAAAAAAAAAAAAAAAAAAAAAAAACCCTCGCACGAGCCTGGCTCTGAACATCCTGTATCAAACTGTGAAACCAATTCACTGTAAAATTAAATGAAAAAGACTGGCTTCTTACTGATGCGGTTTGGAACTTGGCCCTAGATGCAAATGAAGACATAACATTGCACTATGCAAAATCTTCTTGTCTTTTGGTCATTTAGTTTCTGCATAGACTTATTTAATGCCCTTGTTATTCAGTTACTTCAGTGCAAAATCAGTGGGCAGAGCTAAAAAGCAGTGGTGTAACTGTGTTTCTCAACCACATTTCTGGAAGACCACCAGCTCTGCACATTTTCCATGTCTCCTTAACCAAACACACAAGATTCAGATAATCAGCTCATTAGCAGAGACTTAAAGACCTTTAATTGGTGTTACAGACAAAGGACAAAACATGCAGTGTTTGTGGACCTCCAGGAACTTGGTTGAGAAACACTGGCATAAAGGAAGGTGTTGATCTCATAAAGCTTAATAAAGAAGCACTTTCCACAACATTTTGGAAGATTAGTTTCCATTTAAAATGAAACTTCCTGGATTTTTTATAGAACAATGGCATCTAATATCTCAAAACATCAAGGGAATTTAGATTTTTCGGTTCATCACTTCTGAAAAACGCTAATTTTCATCTCGAAATGTTCCTTTCTTCCAGTGACAGCTCTGTTCTGATGGAAGCTCACATATTAATTGTTGTAGGATGGTGACTCACCTTTACCCTGATGTACTTGGCAGTGGGTGGAGTCTTGGCAGGGGCCGCTGAAGGAGTCGTGGAGGGAGCGGATAGCGGTGTACTGAACCCCTAATGACGTGCACACGAGCAGCAGCAGAGTCTTCCACGAGCACTCCATACTGCTCCCACACCGTCACATGCTTCGCTCTGTCAACAAGGAAAGCATGCACTCTTATATGCACTGCAAATTTGCACATTTTTTGTCTTGTTTCTAGTGCAAATATCTAAACAATTTTAAATGAAGAAGCATTTTCTAAACAAGCAAAACCATTTTGTTTTAAGATATAATGTATTGAAATTAAGTGAAATGATCTGCCAATGTGGTATGCAGAATAATCTTATGTCAAAAGGAAAAGCAAGATTATATCAGAATAGTTTTAGCATATTATTTCTGAAAAGAAGACAATATTTTTTGCTTGTCTTGAAAATGCTTCTTCATGTAAGAACTTTTGGATATTTGGACTAGAAACAAGACACAAAAATCTAATTAAGAAAGTAGTATTAGATAAGGATTAGGCTTTTCATTAAAAAGGACATCAATTTTAAACTTTTAATTCAAGTACCTTTGGAGAGGTCTGCTTTAACTATAGGTGAAATGTCTGCTTTGCTTTTGAGAGATCATTACACTGAGTGCTTAATTTGAGATGCATTATCATTGTAGATGTTAAAGCGTATATAATGAGATGGGGCTGTATTAAAGATTTTCTCACAATCAAAAAATAGGCTACTTTGCTCTATTACCACACTCTTCCATACTTTAATAATTTTCATACCTTAGGGAATTACCCATTTTTCAGGCTTAAAATAATCTAATTTAAAATATTACAAACAAAAAATATTACAGCTGTTTATTTTACATTAAATATGTAAATATCTATGCATTTTTATTGTGGAAGCTTATTAACATTATGTTATTAACATAATCATTAAACAGACTAATTTGTTTTATTACCACACTTTTCCTTACTTAATTAATTGTGAAATCATTAGCTTAAACCACAAAAATGTATCTATTTTTGTTATTTAGAATAATATGATGTAAGTCGCTTGATTTGTTGATGAAAAAGCTAAAGTATGTTCCTCTTCTTGATCCGTGAGTCTCTGATTTCATTTCTTACATCAGGAAAAATATTGTTAACCAAATTGAAGCATTTTTAATTTGAGATTAAATAAGTCTATACTTGGTCACTAACATTTGTCTCATATTCTGTGCTATTATTGTGGAATAAACAGTAGAATGGGGAAGAATTTATAACATGTGATATGAATTATGTAATCAGACACCAAAAATGTAATCCTTATACAGATTGCATTTTTAAACAATCATAATCAGATTATAGTAGATCCACACAATTTGTGTGAAAATTTTCTAAACAGGATTATTCACAATGTAGAGCGGTCATGTAAAATTAAGTATGATTCAAGATTCTGAATAAAAACAAACCAAAAAAACAAACAAAAAAACAACAACATCAACAGAACAAATTAGCTATAAGTTATTTAAATGCATTTCTAAAGTAGTCAGTATGCATGACCTAAAATACGTAATCCAGAAATCATGTAATTTGTAATACAGTAATTAACAGTCAACTGTTTAACAGCAAGTGAAACTTTGACACTTTTTATATGTTAATCAGTTAATCTTTCTTTCTTTCTAGGGATATCTTAGTCAGCCTAAACAAAAATTATCAAATTTATTTGATTTTTTTCATTTAAAAACAACAACAACAACTTTATTTTCAGCTATAAATAAAATATTGGTCAATTTAATTACACTTATGTATTAAAATAATTAAAACTGAAGTAAAAAAAAAATACAGACACACCTAATACTATTAAAATACCAATAAAAATGACAAAAACAACTCCTTACTGTACAAAGTAGTCAAAATATAAAGTTTGAAAAGTCATTTAAATATATTAAGATATAAAAAAACACATTTATTAGCCGGAATATCAGCAATAACATTTAGGCTTTTTTCAAAGATCTGAAAGCCCAAGACAAATGAGGTATAATCAGTCATCTCAGCCCATCTGCAGTTGTTTCAAAACAGTTCCTCTACCAAATATTGAAGGATACCATCTCCAAGTTAGTCACACATGGCAACCCAAGCTAGTTGGTCTTTTCTCAGCTAAAAATCCACTTCCACATTCAAATTGCTCAGACCTGCTCCAAATCAATGTGTTGCTTGTGCAGTTTTCAGTTCAGAGTTGCTATTAGAAATGCAATATCTGCAGCATGTCCTCTGCCTCTCATCACAGTCTCATTTCTCTTCAAATGCTGAAAAATACCATCTTAAATAATGCAGGGCCTATTTTAGCTGTGATGTATGTTGCCACATGTGTCTCTTGAGCCAGCCTTTAACAACAATTTCATCAATCAGAGGTGGCACAAAATTGCCACTGATGGCCGCAAGTACGATTTCTGCAGTTATGGCCTGAATAAATACGGTCTGTGGTATTGGTAAAAGTACACATGCTGTATATTCTCTTGTGCAGTTCATTTAAATTAACAAGAATCTTTTCAAAGATATGTAGCATGGACGTTTTTCGAATTTCAAATGCATTATTAGAGCTTAAATTTACTGATATAGCAATAGAACGCTCCACACACTCCTTATCAATGAACAGGCATGTCGCTTGCCTCGGGTTCCTCGAACTTTGCATGAAAAGGCTCTTACTGGCTTGGTAATTGAGCATTCAATGAGGTGGTTTCTCTGTGCCTTTTAATAGCTACAACTGCAAGTCTGTATATGATGACACTTGAACACAGATAAATGCTAAAACAGTCATTCAGGAGATACTGTAGATCGATATATGAAGAGTTTAGATGCAAAAACCTCTAAATGCCATTTGAGTTTTTTTTCTAAAATGAGCATTTTTCTTAGACCCCTGTGTGTTTAATAATTTTACTTTAATGGTGATGAATACGTTCTTTTTATTGCCTTTAAAGTAAAATAAATGAACATAAACATAGGAGGCTGAAAACAATGCTCATTTTAAGAAAAATTTTTGTTTTTGGCATCTTCATATATTGGAGTTGCTAATATAATATCGGCATGTCAGCTGCTCACTGTAAAAAACGATAGTGGTTTTTAAGATAAAAAATTTTAGAAAAATCCAAGCAGGCACACAACATCATAAGATGTTAATTTTGAGTTAGATTTAGGTTGTGACATCAGGTGACCAACATTAGCCAGGATAACATTGTTTTGACGTCCAATAACAACATCAAATAATGTTCATATTTGATTGATTTTAGGTTGTGTTGGAAGGTGACCAAAATCCAACATTGAGCGAACATCTTAAACCAATGTCATACTGATGTCAAATACTAACATCTACAGTATACGTCAGGTATGGCAACCAAAATCCAACGTCTGATAGACGTCATATTAATAATGTCCACACAACGTCAAGCTGTAACATGATTAGACGTTGATATTTGGTTGATTTTAGGTTGTGTTGGAAAGAGACCAAAATCCACCGTTGAGCGAACATCTTAAACCAATGTCATACTGATGTCAAATACTAACATTTACAGTGTACATCAGGTATGGCAACCAAAATCCAACATCTAATAGATGTGGTATTGATAATGTCCACACAACGTCAAGCTGTAACATCATTAGACGTTAATATTTGGTTAATTTTAGGTTAGACGTTGGACATTGATGTCGGGCTGGTGTTCGGTCAACCTGATTTTCATTTCCAAACAAAATGTAACGTCCCCACAACGTTGGGGTACAAAGTCAATCTGACATCATGTTGACATCATGTGGCGGCAGGAATGATATGGCAAAAATCTCTAAGCTGATTAACGATAAGTTTCCTTACATTTTTATGCTTTTTGTTGATGTTATTATGGTTGTTATTATGTACATTTGATTTGAATGTTACATCTAATGTTTTACAAAAAATGTTTATTGCATTAATTTCATGTGTGTGCACGATGATGATGTCTTTTTTTTTTTTTGACTGACACTGTGTGCCTGCTATATATCAGTATGTTTCTCTGCTGTGTGGTTTTGTCTGTGTAACAAAAGCCCCTTTTACACATACAGACCTTTCCGGAAAATTACAAGAAATACTAGCATACAGATCTGGTATGTGTTAACAGGCCCTTTTTGAAAATACCAGTAAATTTGTTTTGTCAATTTTCCAGAAAGAGAAGTACCGCTGCACTGTGTGAACGCAGAAGGAAAATTGCTTGACGCGAGACATCTACTTCAGCCAATCATAACACTCACACATATTTACATCCGCACTATGAAAATAAAAGCCTTTGAATATTTTTCCACACACATTTAGCTGCAAGATGTTAGTCAGATAACATCTGATAGTTTCTATGTTCCTTCCTAATGCCAACTGTTAAATTTAATGGCTAATTCGTATTAATTCAATATAAATCCTAAAATTTAGTACGATTTGCTCATCCCACAAATGATGGTTGGGTTTAGGGGCGGGGTTGGGTGCCATGCCTCCTTTTTTAAGTCGTACAACTTTGAACAACTAAACTCGTGAATATGAATTCGTACGATTTAGCCACCAAACTGACAAAACGTAAAATACTTAAGTTTCCTCGTAAGATCAGGCTGGATAAACCACTGTTTGTTTACCTTCAAGCTCTGCTTCCGTTGCTTGACGCGTGTGCACATGAAGCAGCTTATGAGTGCCAGCACAGACACATTATGAACATCTCGACATGTGAAAGTGTTCCTCCATATGTTTGCATCTAAGTTGTCCGCACTACTTATCCATCCACATAATTTGTAATGTAGTCAAATCTGTAAACGTTGAGCTGCGGTTCGCATTTCTGCTTTTGGATGTCTCACAAATCAGCTGCATGAATGCTAAAGCTTTCAATAAAAGTGAAACATCAATAAAAGGCTGACCCCTTCTATGTTTACAAATACAAGCGCAGCCGTTTATTGGTCATTTCTGGTTAATGATGTCAGAATTTAACGGTATTTTGGAATGGATGTGTATAAATGGTCTTTTCCAGAAAAACTACTGAACGTCTGTGTTGTTTGAACAACTTTTTTTATTAATTGACCGGTAAAGTAATTCGGGAAATTTTCCAGATATTTACCAATATCACTGCGTGAAAGGGGCTAATGATGCAAGGTGTAGTATTTCAAATAGTTGGTGTAATAACACTTTAAAGTGATTAAATATGATAGAAATTAGAAGACTTCTCTTCAGTTTCTGACCTATTTTAAACAGTGAAATTCTGGCGATCACAGATGCTGCTTTTAAACGGTATATTTTTATTTATTTTTTACAGTGCTTTTCTGAACCTCCTGTTGGTCAACCCATGTTTTCAGCAATAACTACATTTTATTTACAAGAAATAGGTCAAGAACACATTATGGTGGCTCTTGAAATACAAAATGAATCAAATCTGACATATACTTTGGTGTCTAGACTGCAGTAAAAACTGTCTCTCTTTCTCTTCAATCACCGCGAGCATGAAAGCATCATTGGCTGCAGCTCTTTTGAAAGCATTTACAGGATTTTCAGGGTTGTCTCTTACAATAAACTCTCTTATCATTCTGCTTTCTCATTCAACAAACTGATTACCACATTGGGAATATGGAGTGTTGGGGAAAATGTATTCCCATCAATGTGCACATTGTGAGCTACGATTAGCTTTCTGTGCCATTTGACAAAATCGCTCCAGCCACATCGACCAACACAATTGAGCACCAGTACTATCATCCATGAGAGTGCTACTGGAAGAAAATTGATATCTATTCCTGTCTGTCACATTTCTTTCTCTGTCTCTGGGACTCCTGACCTTGCTGTGAATTTATTAATTCATTTTTTAAAACTCATTACATGACAAAACAGGTTGAAACAGTTGCTCTTTCTCTACACCCAATAGATAGTTTGAGAATTAATTAAACATCTGAATGAATATGTGAATTCTTAAGAGCACAAAAATTCCAATTCACCACATTTTGAAGACTAATTTGAATCCTGCAGATATAATTATGCAAAATCTGTGTTTTACCAAGGTCTTCATCATTGTAAATCTTAAAAATCCCTTTTTACAAAATACTTTTTTCCTTTGCAAATTTATTATTGAGGTGTTAGCGCAACATCAGAGAGACATGCATAATTAATTAACCAATCAATCAAAGGTGTTTGAATGAACATGAAAATTATTACTTTTGTGTCTGAACACTCTCCATGAGTCTGTTTGCCTTGAGGCACAGTGTTATTCAAGGTTAATGTGTGTTTATGGCCAATACAGCTACAGGCAAGACACTAATGTGAGCGACCAATCCATAATATCAAAAAAGGCATAAATACAGTCTCACTCAATAAATAGCCATCAAAACGTCCATAGTGCATTAAGCCATAGCTTTCTTGCAGGGTTTGCAAGTAAAAAATGCTGAAAATAATACTCAAAATCAGGATAAATTTGCTCAGGACTTTTTCCAGAGACTGGATAAATGCTTTAAATAATGTTCAGTATCACGCATTTCATAAAACTTCGATGTATCTTGAGGGTATTAATTTCATTTTGTCTGTATACAGTATGCTTTTGGACTCTCAAAGAGGTGGTATACGTTGACTTGGATTTTATAAATCTCCAAGGATCGCGATTTCAGCTGCAAATTTCCTTTAATGTTCTTCTGAAGAAAAAAGTCACTTACATCTTAGGTGGCCTGGGGGCGAGGAGCCTGCATTAATAGCATGTATTTCCTTCAGTAGGTTTATTTAATCTCAAACAGTTTTTTTTTTTAGCTTATTTAAAGTTGTGAGCTGGTGCTAGCTGGTTTAAAATGGTCTCACAGCCTGGTTAAACTGGTATTCTAGCAAATATAAACTGCTAAAACATTTAAAACCTCTTAAAGACTAGCTTACATGACCAGTCTGATGATCAATTTCTGACAATTCAATTTAGTCTTGTTTAAGAGAGATAATTTACTATGCAAATCGTACCTGATAAGCGGAACAAACTACTGTTTTAATTAGTTTAAATTGATAAAATTGAATCAATCACGAATCATACACAAAACTCTCAACAAGCCTAACATTTTTTAAAACACAAACAAGTCTACTTTGTATCAAGTAGCTACTCTAACTTCATATCACCTATTGTTGACAGCAGTTTACAGATCTCTAGCTTGTTTATGTGGTCGCTTCTGTTAAGAGCATCCTCTGTCACGCAGCCTCCGCTGACACAACTTCTTCCCTAAGCTCTGAGGGAAGCTAAATTAAATTCATTTGCAGTCTAGAAGTTAGTAATATCAATATTAAAGTCTCAAATCAAACATTAGGGACACACAACATTAAAGAAACCCCGATGAAAACAGTCGGATGCGAGCGGACGCTGACGAGAGGACGCGCGTTTCTTACCATTCACGATGAGCTGAATATTCCACAATAAAACAAGCATGGACTCGATACAGCGAAGTTGTTATTCTGATAGTTCTGCGGGTCTGGAGTCAGTCCACCTTTGTCAGCCAAACAACGGTACGTATGAAGTGACAGATGGACCATGTTGGCTTTCTGTGAAGCAGGGGTGGGCATCTCATCACGCGTGGAGAACCAGTGGCTCATTCTCCTCCACTGTCGTTGGTTTGTCTGCGCTCTGCTTTAACTCAGAGACAGCGACTGGAAACGGAAGTTATTGGTACCTTTCAGTCCATAGACACTGGTTTTCAAAGTCTTTCAGAAAATAAACGCGTGTACACGAGTTTGTTAAAGGGACACTTTACAAAAATGAACTGGTTCCAGCGGGAACCTTGAAGTTGAAACGACATCAAATTGACATCAAGCATGCCCTAAAAAAACACCTTAAAATGAATATCGAATTGATGTCAACACCTTGACGTCCTCTTGCCACACACATTGATAACATTTTGACCACCAAAATAATGAGACAAAACAAAACTATTATATAGTAAAAGTTTTATTAATCTGCAAGCTTCAATATCACAAAAAAACGTTTAAATGTAAAAATACAAAAAAGTAAAAAAATAAGTTCAAATATAAAAACACCTTTACAAGTAAAACGAATAAGAGTTTATTTTAATATTAAAATAAAAATATTGTCAAAAACCTTAATATAACGAGGTTCACTAATAATAACAATTTATTACTTTAATTTGACATAATTTTAAATGTACTTACACAGTGGAAAAATACAGCAATTTTATTGCCTAAAACAGACAATTTGCTGTAATTTGTCAATAATGATATAATACATGAAATAACAGTCAAGCTGTTAATATACAGATATTGTTTGTAATTTTTACGGAGTTTTGAATATAATTTAAAATAACAGAAAAAAATACTGTATACCTTTAATGATAAAGGACCTAAACTGAAAGTCAAACTGTTAGTTTAGAGAGATTGTTTGTCATTTTACTGAGTTTTTAATATAATATGAAATGACAAAAACAAAAAAGGGCGACAAAAAATTAAATGGTGCAGTAGGTAGTGCTGTTACCTCAAACCAAGAAGGTCGCTGGGTTGCTGGTTCGATTTTCGGCTCAGTTGGCGTTTCTGTGTGGAGTTTGCATGTTCTCCCTGCGTTTGCATAGGTTTCCTCCGGGTGCTCCGGTTCCACAGTCCAAAGACATGCGGTACAGGTGAATTAGGTAGGCTAAATTGTCTGTAGTGTCTGAGTGCGTATGTGTGTGGATGTTTCCCAGAGATTGGTTGCAGCTGGAAGGGCATCTGCTGCATAAAAATGTGCTGGATAAGTTGACGGTTCATTCCGCTGTGGCGACTCCGGATTAATAAAGGGACTAAACCGACAAGAAAATGAATGAATGAGTGACAAAAATTACTGTAAAACATTTAGAGATATTTTCTGTAAAATTATGTTTTTTACAGTGTGGATCCTTAAAATGCATGTAAACTACCTTGATGTCAAAATGACATAAAACTGACATAAACATTAGACTGGCGCCAATAAATATCAAAGATGTCACCAAAAATGTTAGTTTTTTGCCAGCACTGTGGCGCAGTGGTTAGCACTGTCTCCTAACAGCAAGAAGGTCATTGGTTCAAGCTCTGACTGGGTCAGTTGGCATTTCTGTGTGGAGTTTGCATGTTCTCCCCATGTTCACGTGGATTTCCTCCGGGTGCTCTGCTTTCAAAGACATGCGTTATAGGTGAATTGATTAAGCTAAATTGTCCATAGTGTATGTGTGGGTGTGAATGCAAGAGTCTTTCGGTGTTTCCGAGTGCTGGGTTGCAGCTGAAAGTGCACCCGCTGCGTAAAATATATGCTGGATAAATAGGTGGTTCATTCCGCTGTGGTGACCCCTGATTAATAAATGGACTTAGCGAAAAGAAAATGAGTGAATAATGTATGGTTGTTATTTTGACGTCCTTGTGACTGCTGAGTTGTTTAGTACATGCACTCTTAAAAATAGACTTTCACTAAAGGCATTGGTAGTCCCTTGAAGAATCTTTAACATTGATAGAAACCTTTCATTCCACAAAGGTTTTTTAGATTAAATCTATGAAGAAAAAAATAACTCTTTGTTCTGGTTTTTACTCAAAAGTTGTTCTAAACCTTCATGAGGTCCTTTCTTCTGTTGTACAATAAGCAATACATATACTGAGAAAGCTGAAAACCTGTAACCATTGACTTCCGCAGTAGGAGAAACAGACACAAAGGAAGTTAATGGGTGCAGATTTCCAGCTTTATTCAAAATATCTACTAGTGTGTTCATCAAAAGAAGAAAATTCAAACAAGGCAACTAAAACTGGAACAAGTGAAGGCTGAGTAAATGATGACAGAATTTAAATTTTTAATTTAATTTAAATGTAATTAAATTAATTTTATTTTAATTTAATTTTAGGGTGAAAGGTTGCCTTAATATATTCATTATATATGTATTACACATGTGCTTGCATATGTATTACCAATCACCAATGTATAAATATCACAATGTATTTACATATATATTTAAGTTGCAAGCACAGTGGCTCAGTGGTTAGCACTGTCGCCTCACAGCAAGAAGGTTGCTGGTTCGAGTCCTGCCTGGGCTACATTTCTGTGTGGAGTTTGCATGTTCTCTCAATGTTTGCATGGGTTTCCTCTAGGTGCTCTGGTGTCCCCCCACAGTCCAAAGATATGCGCTATAGGTGAATTGGGTAAACAAAAATGAGTAGGCTATATTAAATAGTAAAAAACTGTGTATAAAAGTGAATGTGAGAGTGCATGGGTGTTTCCCAGAACTTGGTTGCAGATTATCTGGGTAAAACAAATGCCGAAATAGTTGGCGGTTAATTTTGCTATGGTGACCCCTAATAAATAAGGGACTAAGCCGAATGAATTTAGCTTGCATTTGGGAGACACATTCAACAAAAGCCACTTAGACCAAATTGTATTCAAGTGAATGTCCAAACTCGTGATAGCACTCATAAAAGAGTACTTGGATGAACTACTTCTGGCCACTTTACTACCCCGTGAGTCCACTGGAGTGATTTTGTGAATGGCAGTCACATATATAGTTTTAGTTGGCAGGTGTTATCCATGCACATGTACACTTGGCAAAAACAGGTTCCTAAAAAGGGTTTCTGGAGCAAAGCCAATCTGGTTCATCAAAGAGCCTGTCAGCAAACACTTCTTAAAAGAGCCATTTCTAAAGAATCATTTTTTACTGCACAAAAATCTTTGTTCTATTGATGTTAACAGTCTTTGTGAAACCATCATTGTCTTCTTTCACCCCAGTGGAAAGTAAATTTACACTGCTTGAATCACTTATCCACTATATAGTGCATTATGTGCCATTTGCCATCTAGAAAATTGTAATGTTATCAAAATAGTTGTGAACAAGTGACCAATTTCAGCAACAACTCCAGCATCCGGTTATATATAGTGAAGGTTGAGAGACTCTTCAGAGTCTAGAGAACATTTGATTGCACAGGAAATCTGAAAGAAGTGCAAGAGTGATGTCATCACAATTATAGATCCATTTTATGCTGAAATAAAACGCCATATTTTAAATGTGTATATAGATTTTAAAAAAATAATTTTACAAACATTTTTTTATAAACAATTGTATTTGTTTTGTTACAAATTTGTGTTGATACAAATCAGCAATTGCATTGCTACTGTTGAGTGTGAAATGTTTTCCATACTAATGAAGCATTTTTGCAAAAGTAAATGAAGCTGATTGTCTAAAATTAACTTGAGCTCTGAAGCTACACTTCCTGTCAGCAGAAATGTATTAAAAGTGAGCACGGCATTTGCAAGTCTTGTGTTGTTTAATGTTGTGCTGAGAATCCGTAGAAAAGGAGGACGTATGGATGGGTGTATAGACGTATGGATGGCTACACTCCACCTGTTAATATCAGCGTCCTATATACTTTATATAGGCAGCTGATAAGGACAACATAATTCTGTAAATCGAATTATTTATTTGTATCCAATAAATTGCTAATATGTTAAACCTTGAGGAAAAACCTCTCCTGACCTTTTTTATTGAACACGCATGGAATTGATCAAATATTCCAACAATATTTTACAGTAAATGCAAATTTTCTCAATGTTTTTGGAGCATAGGGGAGAGCAGGGCACAAAGTAACACTTTTGGTTTTGGTCCAATAATGAATAAAGTAATGGGGTTAGACAAACCATTTTTTTTTTTTTACAAACAACCCACAAGCCTCTCCTACAAATGAAACCTGTGGTTTCTGTGCAGTATTGCCAAAAGTGCCAGGAGTAAAAATGTTACTATTTACCCCACCTGTGGGGCAAATTTTAACAGACAGAGGGTTAGTTGTAACACATGCTTATAAAGGCAGATTTCACACAGTTAATTTAAATTCAGTTTACTTTAAATAGTAGCTATATTTGCTCAGTAAGGCTCATTTACTTTTGAGTCAACATAGCACAGTATGTTTATTTATTTATCTATTGGATAAACACATTTGAATCTATTTGCATAATTATCCATTTATCCATTATCATGCAATGCATTTATTTGCATTATTAGCAATAGAATATTTTGTTTTCTTTAAAAAATATATTTTCTATCAAAAACATTTTTATTTAAAAATTTCTCAACATTACATTTAAAATAAAAAAAAAAATATATATATATTTTGTTAGTTAAATTGGTGTCCAACAGTGTGTGGCTTAACTTGTGACACCCTGTTACAACTAGCCCCGCTGTGTCATGTTTTTCTCAAAACTGGCTAGCAGTCACTTTGTGTTTCCTACATCTTTCAAAATGGTTTCATCTTTTAGCCTAGAAGAGGGTAATCACAACAATATAAGATTTTAGGGTATACTTTCACAGGTTTTTAAAAAAGAAAAAAATATCGATTGCAATAAAAAATACTTTTGTGCTGCAAAAATGGTTTCTCCTGTGTTTCTCATACAAATTTCCCCAAAACTTTTTCAATAACTGTCAATAAAAATACCTCAAAACCCTGTGTTACTTTGTGCCCTGCACAATGTGCTGATGTTATTGACCCATGAACATTTGCGGCTTGTTATCAAACTATTCTAAAACTGTAACAAGAGGCAATTCAATCATACTGTTAAAACAGCAATTATAACACTATTAGAAGAGTTTAGATGTAAAAACCTCTAAATGTCATTTGATATTTTCTTCTAAAATGATCATTTCTCTTTGACTCTTATGTCTAGGCTTAAAAACTGTACTTTTATAGTGACGGATAAGTTCTTTTTATTGCCTTTAAAAGGAAATACTTGAACATAAACATAGGAGGCTGAGAAAAATGCTAATTTTAGGAGAAATTTTCAGATGGCATTAAGAGGATTTTGCATCTGAACTCTTTATTTATCAATACGTG